ACTTAATATCCTAATGATTTTTGGCATAAAAGAAAAATCGATAATTACAAATAAAATAACTCATTTTATTTTATTTTTTATCATATTATTTATTTTTTTATTTAATTCATTAAATACAATTTTAATGTATTAAATTTTCATTTAATTTAACTTGATGTATTAAATTAACTAAAACTGAAATAAAAATGAATAAAAACGACATATTTAAAAAATGACAAAAATTACTAAAAACTCAAATTAAAATAAAAAAGAACATATACAAATATAAATGATTTAATTAACATTAATACTACTTTATAAAATATAAAAAAAATAATAAAAGCTATAATAATAGTATCTCAGTGTTGATAAAATAGCGCTGGTTGAACTAAACAGACGTCATCTGGAGATTATCGTGTACATCCTCATGCTGCTGGAACTCAAAACAAACACAATCATTTGGCACAAAATGTTCCTGGCAGTGACAAGATGACAGTGTTATATTTTCTCATCGCTTCATTACAGATTAGACATAAATAAACTGGTCAGCTGGAAGCTTTTGGCCTCTTCTAACCGCTTTATAACAATCTCTTGTAGCTCTGTTGAATCATCTGCTCTCCTCATGTGCTGTAATAAAAGCTCTTCTCCGATCCGCAGTGCCGACTCCCTCCTCCAGTCCTCCAGACGCTGTGGACCGATATCTGGAGACGCCAGCCGACGAGAACGAACACACACACTTTCTGAAGGCCAAAGAGAGTCTGGAGGCCAAACACCGCGAGCGCATGTCTCAGGTGCAGGATTCATTCATAGAAATTCATGCTGCTGTTCATCAAGGATGTGTTAATGTTACAGTATGTTTGTTTTCTTTTGAACTTTCTATTCATCTGTGAATCCTGAAAAATAAAATGTATCCCTGCAGCACAAAAGCAGTGTTAAGTCGCTGGGGTATATTTGTAGCAATAGCCAACAATACATTGTATGGGTCAAATTGATCAAATAAATGCAGCCTTGTTGAGCAGAAGAGACTTGTTTTAGTAACATTAAAAAATCGTACAGTTCCCGAACTTTAATGTATATTGTGTGTTTGAGATGTTTGTACAGAAATATGATGTTTAATTCAATTCAAGTTTATTTGTATAGCGCTTTTCACGATACAAATCGTTGCAAAGCAACTTTACAGAAGCTTATTTATTCAGCTTTCAGATGATGCATAAATCTCAATTTCGAAAAATTGACCCTTATGACTGGTTTTGTGCTCCAGGGTCACAAATGTATCATGATACCTTGACAAAGGCGTTTTGCCAAAACGTTGGTAAAATAAAGAATTATCTGCAAGTGAGTGTGCGGTCAATTGAACTAACGTAAACATTAACTGAAATAAAATATACAAAAAAATCATTTTAATTTTAGTTTAAAGTAAAAAGTTCGTTTAATTTTTAATTTAGTTTATTTTAGTTTTAGGTATTAAAATAACTAAAACTGAAATTAAAATTAATAATTATATTTTTATATAAATTATTTATTAATTACTTATAAATTTAGAATTATTCATTCTGAATTTAAATTAGTAGCCAAGAAAGAATTTATGTATTTATGTGTGTACTAAAATGCCTAAAACTAAAGCTAAAGATTAGATTTGTGTAAAACTACACAGATGTATTTACAAACAACAACTAATAAAAATGTCAAAAAAATATGCAATAAAATTGCTAAAACTTTAAATAAAGTTAACATGTAAGCAGAAAACATTTTAAAAATCAAATTCAAAATATTAACAAAATCTATAACATCTGTATCTATAAATCTGTATCTCAATGATACAAAAATTAAAATAACAATAAATATAAAATTAAGTAAACAATTAAAAAAACAACTTTTGTTTAATCGTTGATGAAGGACCATTGTTGATTTTTGTAGGTGATGAGGGAATGGGAAGAGGCCGAGAGACAGGCAAAGAGTTTACCACGCAACGACAAGAAGGCCGTGATCCAGGTCAGTTTGTGTCATGGAAATTTCCCCTCGATCTTACTTTTCCTCGAGGCTTTGCTTGACTTCTCCTGCGTTTCTCCCGCAGCATTTCCAGGAGAAGGTGGAGGCTCTGGAGCAGCAGGCGGCTAGCGAGCGACAGCAGCTGGTGGAGACACACATGGCGCGGGTGGAGGCACTGCTAAACGACCGCCGACGCCTCGCTCTGGAGAGCTATCTGTCTGCCCTGCAGGCCGATCCACCCCGGGTACACACTTCAACACACACATAAAGACTCATTCTTTCCATAGGTCGCTCTTTTGTGATTAACTTTCTCAGTTGGTCGCACCAGCACATGATTTGGTGGCACTTTTTGCTACTCTCTATTAGTGCTACTTGATCTTAGCACTGCGTTCGACACTATTGACCACAACATTCTTTTGAATAGACTAGAATACTTTGTTGCCATTAATGGAAGTGCATTAGCATGGTTCAAATCATACTTATCTGACCGCCAATTCATCAATTCGTACCGGTGAATGAAGAGGTATCATATCGATCACAAGTGCAGTATGGAGTACCTCAAGGCTCAGTACTAGGGCCATTACTT